TTACAAAACAGGTAATGAAATAGAAACTATTCCACTGAAATACTGAAATTACATTTCTCAAAAAAGTCAATCAATCAGGATAAATCCAACAATGAAATTATTTTAATTTTGACTCCCTATTCTTTTTTTTTTTTTAATTGCATGGTTATATTTAAAAAAATCCAAACCAGAACTATTTTGTGAAAATAAACGTTTGGACAGAATCATAACAATTACATATTTTATTCCGTAGAAAGTTTTGGATATTTCAGGTTTCATCTTCAATTAATATCTCTTCACATAACTTATCATGTGTCAAAAAATTTACAAGCATCTTACTGGAAAGCAGAACTTGCTCTTCTCAAAGGTCTGGAGGTATAGTCAGCTCTAATCTGAGGCTGCTGAAGACAATGGAAAAAGTCATCCCACTTACTGACATTTCAGAAAGCATTAAACCAAATCTGTAAGAATGTCATCTATGTGTCCATAGGGAATAAGCAGAGAGTACAAACTGCGTTTCCTGGAGATAGCAGCAAGGTACAGAATATTACTTATCCTGGTTTTTAAAAACATGGCAGCAAAATGACCTAGTATTTATCCTAAAACAATTAGGCAAAACCAAATGGGTTCTCTCAAGGTGTGAGACATTTAAATCAAAGAGGAGTGGCTATGTCTCTATTTTAATCGTTTCATCTGCCTAGGATATGACATTTAGCATTACACTTTATTCTTTTTGATTCACATTTTAACCATCTTGTTTGTTTTTTTGTTTAAACAGAGCAATCACAATATGGGTGCAGAATTCCCCTTTTAAATTCTGTACTTGTTTCTGTCCAGGCAGTTTATCAAATAACAGGTTCTGGGCAAACCAGAGTTTCTGAAAACAAAGTGAAAGAGTGAATATATTTCAGGGATACATGAGGTCAGTGAACATTCTTTTGCTCGCATAATTCCTTTTCCATCCTTTGTTTGTTCATTTATAACCCCTGAAGTATAACGCATGAATTATCCTATTGCACACATCAGCCACTTGACAGATTGTTTTAGTAAAACTCTTATGTGCTGTGGCTTTCCTTCCAGGCTGCCAGGAAAAGTTTAACAAAAAGGCTGATTAGTTCCTTTAAGTTCTCCCAGATAAACAAACTACAAAGCAAGTTTACAGTACCAAGGACCATCCATGCAAAAATATCACACAGGCTCTTTACAGTAACAACACAAATCAGAGCATCCGAAGGTGCTCAGTCAAGAAGAAAAGCTGATGATGATTCAGCAGTCTGTCAAATGGGGAGCAGAAATGTTCACCTTTGAGAATCTTTAGTTAATGGCACAAAATTGTTAGGACGCTTCTTAACAAAGCTCTGTTTAAAGAAAGACTTTTTCTTTGTTTCATACATGGACAGTAGTTTTTTAGTAATAATTCATAAAAATCATTAGATATATATTTTTTTTTCCCCTCATAAAACCTTAGATAATGTCAATGTCACAGACGCTGGTTACCTAAATATGTGTCTATGTATTCACCTAAGAAACTGCACACAAAACACAGTAGACACACAGCAGATTTCCAAACCCAAGTCTGGCCTTCTAAGAAGTGCATTACCCGCTGCGGGCATGCTGCAGGCGAGGGCTACGGCCCCAGCCCCGCGCTGCTGCACAGAGGTCTGGGTCCAGGCAGCAGAATTAAGCACAAAAGTTGCCAATCTTGTGTTTTCAAAAACCTCAGAAGCAGCTTGGGAGGGTGATTTTAATGAATTGCATCTTCCCACCACCCCACAGCAGAAGGCTGGGAAGATGACAGACAGGGGAAATAAAGGTAGAATAAGAAGTGTAAAAGGGGGAAATGGATCCTGAGGTAGATTGGGAAGTGTGGGGGAGGAAACAATGTTACCAAATTTCAAGGCAGGCAGGGATATTGCAAGGGAGAAAGTGCAATTAAAAAAAAAAAAAAAAGAAAAGCCTGAATGAAATGTCAGCAAATTAGCTCCTGGCATTACTAGCTCTGCTGTCCTGGTTGTAGAACTTTACCTCAGCATCTCTCAAAAATACTAGCACAGCTTAAACACGTGATAAAAAGAAACAAAAAGACAAATAAACTCGATAAAAATGTTATGGTGTTTGTTGATACGCTGTATTGTTCTAGGTAATACCCAGTTACAACACTCATTTACTGCTTGGATTAGACTGAACCAGGAGAATCAGGGGAATTACTGCAGGTTTGACACACTCAGACAAGCCCGATGTTGAAATGAACTGCGACATTCATTAATTTCATGTGAGATTTCAGCAGCCCCTGAAATTGTAGCCAGTTAGCCATTTTATGTACTCTAAAAGTCATGATCACCTCTGATTTGAATCCAGCGTATAAATACATCTCCTTTTTGCAAATACATGGCACATAACGACAAAGAACGCAGAATTTGGAAAGCAGAAAGAGTCATGATTTTCATTCTTTTCCATATTCCCTTCAAATTCATTGCCTTTTCCACCAATGCTCAGTATGACCTTTCACAACTGCACCTCTCTACTTGCGCTTCATCCCATGCTCTCCCCATGCCCCTGCTGCTTCTGGACCAGACCTAATCTTTGTGTAGTTACAATTCACATGCGCCAAACACTTATTTATAAAGTATTTGTGAAGACTGTGCAAAGAAAGTCTCTCTTTTTTAGTACAAAGATACTAATTAAGCTGATTTTCTTTATTTCTTGTGGACCTACTGTGAGAAAATCTTGATTTCCCAAGTAAGCAGCAAAAATTACAAATTACATGTGGTATATGGAATACTCTGCTATAATTTTAATCCATCTGGGTTTATATAGTGTTGCTAGGATAAAATCCAGCCACTTCTCAGCAAAGGTGCAAAGGCAAGTTATCTAGGATCAAGGCCTACGTTCTATTCCCAGGTATGCCAAAGGTTTATTATACAATAAAGAGAATAATGTACCCATCATCACATCTCCCCCCCATATTCAACACGTTTTTCCCTTTCATATTCCTTATGTATCCCTTTAATATATTAAATTATAAACTGTTTTTATTTTATTTTTCTTGGTTTGGGAAGTTTGGTGTGTTTCTTGTCAAACACACTAGCTGTTCTTGTACCGTGATTATATACACTTAAGCATCACAAAACAGCCAATGAAACCCCAGAATGTAAAGCCTTTCACTATACAAGTTTTCCTGTGGGTGAAACAGTCTTTGAGGTTGTTCTACACTGTCTATATAAATATAATTGAATCTTTTTTTCTCTCTCTACAATTTTTTATATAATTTAAGTGTTATATAGGAGGCCTCGAAATACTCTCTCTTTAACACGCAGCAGTTACCAAAAGTGAATATTATTGATCAACATTGTCATCCTAAATACTGATTTCAGTTTTGCTGACTTCATATTCAGAAGTATCAAATATAGGAAAGATCCACACAAATATAGCAAAAATGATTGTAGGTAAAGAGGGTTTCTTAAATGTGTTCAAAATTAAGGAATAATTTTCTCTGAAAAACATAATTAAGGAAAGCATGCTTGTGATACATAAATACTGATTAATAGGGAAAGGTATTTTTGTTGATTACTGAAGCGTAAAGTACTATTTTCCATTCTTATTTTTATTTTATTGTTAAAATTTGTACCTTATAAAAAGAATGGGCATTGAATGATCGAAACACAAAAACTTCTATAAAATTCCAGCTGTTTTGAAATCTTTACTTCTCAGTACATTTGGCAGAAGCAGAAAGTGTCCCAGGAAGACATTAAAAATATTGCATATCAATTAGATATTAAGTCACACCTCTCATGGCATGCTAAAGGCTGGCATAGCAAAGCAGGCACATGAAATGCCAAAACACGGCATGCTAAAGGCTGGCAGAGCAAAGCAGGCACATGAAATGCCAAAACAAGCTCTTTGGCTCCCATTTTGCTGTCCCTTGCAGTGTGTCCCTGCTACCGCACCTGACTATTCTGCCTCAGACTAGGCCTCCTCCTCACTTGTATCACTTTATCAGTTTGGGGGGAAAGTCAGGAAAGCGGAATCAGACAGAGACCCCAGTAAACCAGATCTGTCTTTAACTTTTCTGCCTTTAACTTTTCTTACTGAATGCTGTTTCCCTTCTGCTCCTGTCTTGTCTGTACAAGGTGATAAGCTGTTGGGGGCAATTTCTGCCTTCTCTCCCATGTGGAGCAATCATAACTATATATTATGTATGCACTTACCCACACACATACATCTACATAAAATTATATATATAGCTCTATTATATGTAGTAATATTTACATTCTTTCTGTCTTATAACTGAGCTCAGTTTCCACTGAGCTCTTAAATTTCGTGGAGGTAGACATCCTAATAATAATCATCACCATGTCCTGGTATATTTTATTTGATTGCTTGTTACTTGATGTAACAAAATGAAATCATCTATAAACTATTTGAAAGATTGATTTCTGTTCAGCTGAATCAGTCCCCTGTAAGATGATACACTGTAAAGGCCCTTTTGCCCTTAAACCATAATCCTGATTCATCAAATATTGTTAGTGCAGTTGTGTAAAGCTTTCCTGCTCAGCAACAAAAATCACCTCACTCTCCTGTAAGAGCTTTTCTAACTTGAAAGAATCTGCAGAAAATTGCAAATAAGGTGCTTAAAAAAAAAAAAATACTGCAATATACTGTAAACTAAAAATCACCACTTCAAAAAGGAATACAGCTTGCTGTCTTCATGGTATTCCTTTAACAAACTCTAAGTGTCTTCACGATTAAGCCCGGAAAGATGAATTTTACTTTTTTACCTCTCATTTATGCCTTGCATACCACATAGATTTTCTAAGTTCAGAATACTGTAACTTACTTGTCCTTTCACAGACAAAAACTTTTGCCAGAGTAAGAATGAGTCTAGAAAGAAAGGTAGATCTCCTAATCTGCTTAACTGAAAATTAGCCAGCAAAATGACATTCACAGGCATTGCCAATGACAAACCATTCACAGGCCAAGGTAGGATGCATTTTTTAAAGTATGCACTAAATTACACCTACTTGCTGTCGAATTTCTTCTTCCATCTTTACTGGGGACCCCAATTCTGCAACTTGTTTGACACCTTCACTAGCATATCCTCCATACTCCCAAAGGATGTAGTTCTTCGAGTGAGAACTACCAATGATCGCAGACCAGTGGTTGGTGCGTCCTTTCAGAGGGAAGACAAAAAAAAAATCAACCATCAAGACAGCTTCAAAGCAAAATTCCTAATTTTTTATTAAAGTGAAAGTTTTGAAGTGCCCAGTCTTCACCAGTACCAAGCTTTTGCATCTGTTGCATGCTGTCAGTTCTCACTACATCAATACACCATATCTTTAGAGCAATAAGAACAAGCCAGTGGACTACAGAAATATAGCATAAAGTGTCAGTAATTATTGGATATAACAACAGAGGCAGAAATGGTGAGAAAGACTGTATTCTGGCTAATCAAGCAGCCCCCCCAAACAGATAGGCTTAGTATATTTTTTCTTAACCGAAGACTTCACTTCTTCAGGAAGTTTAAGAATCCTTTAATTTTAGGTTTCCATGTAAAATATTTTTGAGAATGAAACCTGCAAGAGAAGACTTCAGCGGTCACTCAAAGATTTAACAGCAAGTCAATTCTTACTGAGAGACACTGGTTTCTAACAGTCCGCTAGATTTGTTGTGTTTGAGTGGTGACAGCAGATTACCAGCAAAAGGTAGATATAAGCGTGATTACACTATCATTAAATAGCTTTGTCCCAAACATTCTCAGGCACAGAGCTATAACAGGCTTACAGCCAGAAGCCTCCCACAGCAGCTTCCTGCTGAAACAGAGGTGAAACATTTGCTTTCTATGGGCAAATGGTGTCCAGCACTTCTTCCAGGAAACTTTTGAAATACTGGTAAAGAACTGCTCTTATTGGCACTGACGTAGCTGGTTTTTCTGCTTCTGCATACTTAAATTATACATGTACCATGTCTCCTTCCTCCACCCTCACCCCAACCATTAGTAGGGGTTCCCTTTAATTTAGGAAGGGAGCAAAGGAGTTAATTTGGGGGATTCTATATTCACTGAGTTTGCTTGCTCAAATTTCTCATAGAGCTAGGCAAAAGGATTCCTGTTCTTGTTTCTTGTCTTCTTGAACAGAAAAAGAAAAAAATGTAAAAGTTTAAAGAGAAAATGTTAAGAGAGGTCTGATGGAATTGAAAAGAGAATCGAGCAGAAATAAAGAGTCACAGAAGTCCCACAGTACTGGAAATAAAAATGAATTCACTTAAGTGTCAAATAACACTCTGCAAAGATACGGGCTTAAAGGAAAAGGGTGAGAAAATGAACTGCTCACACAAGCAGGCAGTCTGGTAACAGTGCAAAGACTGTAGGAGATGAGGAAGACAGAATGATGGAATGAGACAATATTTAACATTTTTCTTTGCAATGCAAAAGGTAGAGAGTAGCAGCAAAAACAGCTGAAAACTAGAATAAATGAATGAAAAATGAATAATGAAGTAAACAAAAGGAATGCAAATTTAAGATGTGAAAGGTGTGACAACGAAATTGAAAAAGACAGTGTAGAGAATTGAATAGATAAAGTCAGATGCAGGAACCTAATCACAGGAAAACAGAAAATAAATTAGAAACAAAAAATGAACTCCAATGCTAGGGGAAAAAAGCTAGAAAAGTGTAGCAAGCAGAATAGACAGATGAGGGAGATAGCCTAGCAACACAGCAAACAAAGCCTCCATAGTTTCCCTAGTGCTAAACTTGGACCAAAATACACCTACTGAGCTCTGAAATATAGTAGGGTTGATGTTTTCAGAGTCCATTAAAGCTAATCAGTAATTGAGCCCCAAATGGAGAAAAAACAAAACTAAACCTCTGCCCCGCCCAGGTAATAGCTGAAGAGACTACAGTGTCAGAAGATGGTTTCTTGATCTAAGATCTAGTAATTGTTCCTTAAATATACACTGGCACTTTGTCAAACCACAGAGAGATACTGTCATTCAGCTCCAGTGATGGGACCACCAGTTTTGCCCATTCTTTCTTCCTAGCACACAGGTCTAACTATCTCACAAGTCATAGACAGAAGCTTTCCCTGAAACACAGTAAGTGACACTTACTGAAACTTATTGAAAGAGAAGGTTCCACATGGTCCCTACAAAAGAAAAATGTATCACTACAGAGAGGAACCACAGTGCCTTTAAGTCTTTAATAAAATGGATAATGAACTGTTCCACGTGCTCCAAAGCTTCTCACGCTCCCTATCCTAAACAGATCAAGAACATCTGCTGTCTTTGCAACCAGAGCCCAGCCTCTTCCACTAAACACGTCTCCTTAAAGATATTGGCTCTGCGGAGAAAGCAGCTGGCCCACCTACTTGCCCAAATGAGCTGTTTGAAGTATACTACATCTACCCTAAACCTTTTACAAAATCTGTACGACGTTTGCAAAAGTTTCACTCCTCATCTTGAACCTCCCATTTTTTATGAGAATGAAAAGACAACTCAATATAGCTTCTTAAACCTTTTCCCCTAAACATCAAAGAAACTTCTCTACATGAAATAATCTGAGCAGTACGAGGCCAGATCTATTTTGCATCACCAGTGCAATGACGCTATCCAATTCCTAAGACAGCAAAGAGAATACTGACAGCTTTCCAATGGCGTTATTTCACTTCCTTTTTATACGAATAGTTTCTCAATTTACACACTTATACGTGTATTTTTGCATAAAGATTAAGGTGTCATCACAACATGAGAATGTGTCTTCTGACATATTTCATAGATGTGCCATATCAAATCATCATGGAGAGCATATATATTTATTATCATATATGGGTGATACCCAGAAAGAATAAATGCTTTTAAGCCACACGGCATATGTAAATACAAATATTTCTGACTCGCAAAATGTGATAAGAAATTTAATAGTTCCCCTTGAGCCAGATTTAATAACAAATGAAATACTCAGCTTCCACTAGTCCTATTATCAGGACTTGTGATAACTTGCAAAAATTACTTGAAAAGCATGCTCACTTTTTTTAAGCCTTAGTTTGCAAATCAGTTTAATTTTTTTTCAGTCTGTCTGAGACCCATGAAAGTAAAATTGTTTTAAGAATTAGTTTTTTAACCCTTTCTACAGCTGTGGTACAGATCTCTCCATTCATTCTATGGTTGGCACACTCAGAACAAGATTGTATTGCAGTGGTTTCATTCTAAGCAATGATTTATAGAGTAGGCGCATCTGATAACTCCTAAACAGACAATACACACTTAAATTCAATGGAACAGAGGTATTTTAATTGCACTGGTATAATAAACATAAAATTATTTCTAATCCATTGAATCTGTGAAAACCTCAAAATAGAATTAAAAGATTTGCACTGTACCTTCCAGAAACATTTTTGTGTGATAGCAAAAGAAAATACTTTATTTGGCAAAAGCACTTCTTTGGAGAAAAGCTAAGCAACAGAGTACATATTATTTAGGGATTTTTAAAGTAAGTCAGAAGATAAGTTAAAGAAAAGACACAAACTAGTAAGTTTTATGATCTGCTTTCTATTTCAGCCATACTGATGGTATAAGAGTAGAGCACAATTTTTTATGTGATGGCTTGGCAAATAATTAGTGATTTACCACAGTTCTTCATGAATAGCATTTTATTTTAGTGTAATTACTGCACAAGTTCAACATTTTGAAGAATAATGTTGATGACTAGTTTTCATTTTTAACATCACTACATCTGGATGAGATTGTTTCTCCACTTTCAGAAATTTCAATGTAAAATCTTATCAGCTGTTGTTACTGGGCTTAATCCTGCTAGCATTATATGGTTATTTTTTCACTTTTCCAGTTTTTTAAGTAAAACTTTAATGTAATTCACCATTTTGTAACTGAGGAGAGATAGCAGTCTACAGAGTCAAATATTGTGGCAAACTATTGTGGCAAACTATTGCAACTTGCTTACTTTCAGTTATGCACCCATACTCTTAATGTGTTCACTGACTTGGATTTAAAAGAAAAGACCATTTATCCCCAATATTACATCGTTAAGTCACACTAATTTCGTAGTTTTCAATCATTTTCTCATGCCCTATTTCTAACCACCAGCTGAATCCATACAAATAATGCATATAAAGTGTCACACTCAGCAGATACATAATCATCCAATAGCCTAAAAGAGCATTCCTGCAGTTACTGGTTTTGGCTTATTTTATCTCCCATGTATTATGCTGACAAATAATATTCGAACAATGCTACATTCAACTGAAATTGTATGAGAGACTCAACATAAGCAATATTGCTTAGGCTGTTAAAACTATGAGCTGATTGACACACAAACCATATTTGAGTTATATGACGATATTCTGACACTGTGACAATAATAAAAAAAAAATGATATATGAATTAAATATAATAAACATCAGCCACAGAAAACATAACAAAGTTTAAAGACCAAGTAAATGTGACTCACGTTCTCAAATAACTTCCTAGCCTTTATTGCCACAGACTGTGGAGTCAGTAATGAAAGAACAAATGCCTAATACACATTTTTGTAATTTTAGCTTTTACAGTTACTTCGGTTATTACAACAAGAATACTGATTCTGTAGTTCAGAAACTTTAAAAACCCAGACAGGCAAAGCTCAGTACGTGTATTTTATCTGTCTATTCAACCAGCAAATACAAAGAAGACAGAATATTCTAAGGTCTATATATCTAATTAATGTCCTTGGGCAGCAAGATTCAGGGCTCACCAAAACTAACTGGAATCTTTCAAAAGACTTTGAAGAAAAACATACTGGCTAGATTGGCATGGTTGTAAAATCAAAATGTTAGTGTGTTGCCCATCCTTTGTGGCCTTTTTCTTAAAATTTCATTTCCTAGCTGTACATTATAAGCCAGTCTAAGCTTTCACTAAAAAAAACCCAAACCAAATCTAACCTTCCTCACCACAATGAAAATGTGGAAAATCTTGAAAATGTGATTCTCATACACACCTCAGTTCAAAACGTCAGGCAAATCAATAGAATTTATTTGTAATGTGTAGCATTCGCAGAAAGATCCATGGATTTTCAATACTGAACGTTAGCAGTATTCTATATATGTCATAATTTACACTGCTGAGCTGTAAATAAGTAATGTTGTATCATGCAATAAGCTCCAACCCTCTTAACAATCCCCATGTGGCACAACAATAGTAAAAGAATGATACTCACGTGGGAAATCTTTCGGATGTGTTTTTTCTGACCAGTTTCCATAAAAAGTTAGCCTGTATTTGGCAGTTCCACAGGCACAACAATCTAAAATTGGTTTGTCAGTCACACCCTCTGAGGCTGAGTCTGAAAAAGCAGCAAAGTATCCATTGAAAATGGTTACAACTCAAAATCAACAGATGACAGCAAAGTTGCCATAATAAACACTCCAATAAATAAATTTGAATTAAACACATTTTTTTGTTTATTTTTAAGTTGGGCTGAAATACCTGGATCATATTTATAAGTGGATGTAATGATTTAAATTTATATTTTTAAGTAAGAAGGCACTACTATTTCAGTAGTCTTCAGATTCAAAATGGGTTTGTTTCTGGCCCTTTTCTGATATGGACGAAACCTCAGTTGATCTCAAAACACAACAGGCTTGAAATTTCTGGACAGCCAAAGCATATAAATTCTCCAGTGGGATGCAATAACCAACTGCAATGCTTAGGTTTAGGAAAGGATGAAATAGCCCAGGATTCAATGAACTAAGTGCCCTGGAGACAAACAGGTTTCACACGAAGACCAGGTAAAAAGTTGTAAGTATCACATTTAGGGGAAGTCAAGGAAGATTGTATGAGGAACAGTATATGTGATAAGGAAGAACATAATTGAATGTAAGATCCCAAATTTGAACCTGGATGAAACTGTTCAAGGCCTCAAAATTTTAGTTTGATATAATGAATTAAAAGAAATATGTAGAACACAAGGAAGTCAGAAAGATGTTTTACTTTACCTTACCTTGTTCACAGATTTTTTTGGTGAGAGAACCCTCATCTTGAAAATAAATTATGCGCTTCTGCACAATACTGGCTCTATAAAGAATAAAAAAAGGTTTTAAATATATTTAAGAAAAAAAAAGTTTTAAATACATTTATTCCTTAAAGGAAGAAGAAAATGCATGATAAAGTAGCAAAAGGACAGAACGGACTGCTAGGACCTAGGCATATTTCCCTTTTCTGACAATACATATACACAATACAGGAGTACAGATAGGATATTTTTATTTCAACTTACATTTGAATTTAATCTTTTTTAACAGACATTACCTTTAGAGAAGTGATCATAGTCATATGGTGAGGATCTGTGCTCTTGAAATGCATGACGGTCAACTGAATATTCAATATTTCAATCAAATCTTATATTAAAATACTGAAATTATATTCCATTTCAGAAAAATAGCACAGCTAAAGCAAGCAGCTGTTTGAAGGAAAATACATGGCACTCTGAAGAGATAAATACTTCTGATATATGACAGCAGTTCAGTGCAAATATCATGTAAAACAGAAGTTAGAAAAAGAGCTAGCATAAGCTAAAGTTTTTAAAAGCAATTCAAAGCTTCCAAAAGACAAGCCACTTTAAAATTAATTAAATCTAGAATATTTGAATCTGAAAATGATACAGGGAAAACCAGAGTTACTGTGCAATTTTATTTTTTACAGCTAGAATTTTACAGCTGAAATTTAGGTGCTTTTTAGCTTCCCATCTGAGAGACCATAAATTGAATTTTGCATCAAAGATCTTCCAAGTCAGCAAAGCACCAAGCCCAAGTTCTTCTTGCAGATTGGTATCATAACGACCATATGGTAAATGTCAAAACCAATAATCAACTGGAAAATATGCTCAAATGGCTCAGGTGACCCCTTCCAGTCCTAAATAAACTCAACCAGCCTCTTTGACCATTTTTTAACTATAAAAATTTAATTCACATGTAATCTAGATCTTCTTTCTATAAGAAGAAAACAGAATTTGGTTAAATTCAAAGACATTCTATGGGCAGAGAGTTTTCTGAGGAGAACATGCTTTGGGAGCTGGCACTCTTTGTTTACCAGTAAGGGAGCATATTCTTCCAGCAACATTTTGTACCATCACTCGTATTCAAAACTCCAAACAGCAAGGGCCAGGTTCTTGTCTTACCTCAACTTTATGGTCAAATAATTATCTTGATCTCTCTAGAGTTATTCCTCACTTATACCAGTGGAAGTGAGAAGAAAAATAAGACTGTATATGCTTAGAAGTGTTGTTGTAGTCATGTAAACCTTTCCTTGACAATGTCCCACCCCATAAAATTACCAAAAATAAGATGCAATTTTACTGTGCTTTCTTTGCCAAGATACAAGGTCAGAGTAGGATAGGAAGGAATCCTTCGTTTCACATTATAAAGCACCCAGGAGAATAACTGGGTTTTCTAAACCTCTTAAAGCTAGATCAAACTGGAAAGGGTGCAGAAACTACAGCTTGCTCTCATCCTTAATAGGGCTGGCATCTTCTAAAGGAAGATGTGGTAAAGGACAGTACCGGCAACCAACCAAGGCTCTGAAAAAACAGCATGAAAGAGAGAAGAGCAAGACTGACTTTTACAAAAAGCAAGGACATGATCTGCCAGTATTTGGTGAAGGGGAACTCCTAGGCCTCATTTTTATAACGGAGTGTTTACACTAGGGATAAATATGAGCCTGTGGTAAATAATAGAAAGTGAATGAAACCTAGAGTTAGTTAAATCTGTCTTTTATTAATATGAGAACTGTCATGAGACAATTTAAATGGTGCCAGAAGAGACTAACCAAGTGTGTGAGAAGCAGAATAAAAGCTTTCTGAGAAATCTTTTTCAGATTTTCTAACAAGAAACAAGGGGAAAAAATAAAACAAACAAAACCACTAAAACAACTACTGGCAAGAATATGAGCCCAATGGCCAGCCTGACAGTAGCATGTTACTTTAGTGTTTCCAGCCTTCGCACTGAAAACCAAAGGAAACCAAGTGTAGCTGGGATGCTACACTGCAATTGAGAACCAATACTTTCACACAGACTCAATGAAACACATACAACTTTTGATACACCATCAATCATGGTTTTCAAACACTGTACCATAAAACTGGAAGACGGTTATGTGGGATGATTAATAAAATGCAAAGTAACAGCAACCTGAGCTGAAACGTATATGCAACTCATATATTTTCAAGATGCTTTAATTTCTTATACACTGGCCAGTTACCGGCAGCCATCTTCCAGGACCGATACTAGGGTCAATAACATCTTTGTTCAAGTCCTGGATGAGGGGGTGGAATGCAACCTCAACAAGTCTGCAGATGATACTGAATTGGGGAAGCAGTTGACATGCTGGAAGGTAAGGTTACTATGTAGGCAGATTTCCAACAGACTTGAGAAATGTGTTGGCGTGCACCCCAAGGTCTTGCATATAGGATGGAATAATGCAGTTACAACAGTACAGTACAGGGCACCTGCTAGCCAGAGAGCAGCTTTACAGAAAAGGCCTTGGGGGTCCTAGTGGACAAGCTGGCCATGAGCCAGCAGCGTGCCATTGCCGCCAAGGCAGCCACCAGGCTCTGGGTGGTTTCAGCAAAAGCGTAGCAACCTGGTCAAGGAACATGATTTCTTCCTCTCTATTTGGTACTTGTGAGACCACATCTGGAATATTACAGCCAGTTTTGGGCTGCCCAGTTAGAGAAAGACATTCCATTACTAGAGAAAGTCCAATAAAGGGCCATCAGATAGATGATTAGAGGAATGGAGCCAATGATGTCTGAGGAGAGGCTGAGAGAACTGTGTTCACTCAGTCTAAAGAAGAAAATACAAAGGAAGGATCTTACTGCTTGTTGTCTTCAACTACCTATTGGAAAGATACAGAAGAGGTACAGCCAGATACTTCTCAGAAGTGTATGGTGGTAGGATGCAAGGCAACAGACAAGTGGGGACACAAGAAATGCCATGCAGATACAAGGAAAATCTTTCTCACCACGAGGATGGTCAAAGTGATCAAACAGTGGAACAGGCTGCCTAGACAGTTTGTGCAATCTCCACCCCTGGAGATATTCAAAACTTGATCAGACCCATGCCTCAGCAACTTACTCAACCTACCTGATGTAACAACACCTACTTCAAGCAGGCAGGTGGACTAAATGACTTCCAGAGGTCCCTTCCAACCTAAATTATTCTATGATCCTGTGCTTTAAAGATAATTTTAAAGAACAGGTTTTCCAAAGCTTACTCAAAAAAAAAAACCAACCCCAAAACCTTAGAAAATCCAAACAAACAAGAAATCAGCTGCATAATAAAGGAGCTCCCAAATTTGCAGATAACAAAGATATTGTGAGTATTTAATTTGAGAAGCAGTTATTTTAGCAATAAAATGTAGAAAGGTTGTTTGAAGCCTGAAGTGTACTCATATTATTCTTTTTGCTGCAGTTAGCTTGTCACTGTGAAATGTCAAGGGAACAGTTCCTTTTCTAACAACAAAAGCTTCACAGCTTTTTGAGTCATTGTCTCTTCAGCTGTGTTTGAAATTATATATGGAGCCAATAATCTAAATGGGAGTTTTGTTATTGATACCAAGTGGAGCAGGATCGGTATATTAGATGGCTGCATAAATACCGAAAGCAGGCACACAACTTTACAAATACTCAGACAGAAAAAATATTAAATTATTTTTTAAATAGTAATTGCTTTAATAATCAGCTTCTAGATTGAAGACAGACCAAAGCATCTGATCAGTGCATTTGCCTAGTTTTTATCACTACCTTTTGTTCCTTTTTTTTTTTTTACGTAATTTTTATTCCTCCATAAAAGTTCTGATTTGGACTAAAGCTTCTTTCCTTCAGTTTTGAGGCTTACAAAAACAGCTTAAAAATGGAATGGCTAACTTTTGCAGAGAGGTAAGAAAGCTTTTAAGAATCTACACAAGGTACACATCTGCTTAGTCTGCATAAATCCTTCCCACCACTTCCAACATCCAGTGCTGTCTGAACTTTATGGTAAGGGGAGATCTGAACGCTTTCGCCCACATATTAACATATTTAAGTGGATCTTTAATTGACTTGTTTCTCTCTTTGACTGTCAGCATACCATGGAATAAAAAAGAAAAAGGAAACAAATATGACTCAAAAAAAATCTGTTTCTCATTTTCTTCAAAGTGATGCTTCTGGATTTGTGTTAAAGCTTTTCCATCACCAAACTGAGGAGCAAAACTGTATGTTACAGGCATATATACACCTAGCAGCACCTGTTTTTATTTTAAAAAAAACCCAAAACCCCTCCTAGAAGTGTTACTTATTATTTCTATTTTGTAGTTCTCTCAGCAAAATCAAGGAATATCTAGTAGCTCCTGTAATATTTCTTTTGGCAATACTACTTTGGAATGTTGTAGGTTGGATACAAGCAGGTCAGAGTATCTGTCCCGTCTCAGTTTGGTCAGACCACATCTGAGCGTGAGGGGAGTGAGACCTGCCCTGAAAGACTTCCCTGGAATAAGAAGGTCCCTCTCCAGCACAGTTCCACAATGATTGTACCATCCTGCTGTGAAAAGCTCTACCAAGGTCACATAAATTGCATTTGGGATATTAACAAACAGGAAATGTCATAAACCATAAAAATTCAGAGCAGCTTGGGAATGTTCCAAGTCATACCAGAAACAGTTGTGGGGTTTTTTTTTTTTTATTTTCTTCCATAGAAACAGCTTTAGATCATCTTCCTTACTCTTTTTGTCAAATCCTAGCATCAACAGAAAGACTCTTATTTTAAATTGCCTCTGTGGGTGTAATGATGTGACAAAAGAAGTAAGGAAGAGGATCTATAAGAATTGTTCCTATGACATTTTTTAAGCTTACATCAAAACCATTAAGTACAATATTAGAGTTACATTTTAATAAAACAGGTTTTGCCAGAGCTGGTGAAGATTCCCTAAGTTTCACCTGGATATTGAAAAATAATCATAAACTACTGGATTGCAGACAAGAAACTTTTTCTGCTCTATATTACTTATGAGTTAACCTTGTCTTGCCCTTCTAGCCATCAAAA